TACTCCCTGATTTCCAATGGTTCTCTAACTGATATCAGTCCGTGGCCAAACTCGAAAATGTATTGTGTTTAATTGTCAACGTTTCATCATCAGGCTTGATGATACATTCAGTATTTACTGAAATTAGTGATGAAGATGTCACCAAAACTAGGGACGTAGCGCTTACGATTTAATACTCAGGGTCGGAGAACATGAAACAGTTTTTACCCTCATCCTTATCTAAGCATCTTCTCTAATATTTCATAAGGTATTCGAGATTCTCTTACCTTTAGTAGTGACCATACACCAAGTATTTCGGCATAATCTACTTTGTCAACTAAACAAGGTCTTAACACAACATCAGGGTGTTATTGCTGTTATCTCAAAAAATGAATCACTTCAATTGTTTGACAGTCTGCTTAAATCATTGGGCTACCCAAATTTTCCATCCGCCTTAATACATTGTGTTTTCTCCATTTCATATTGTTTTAATCATAAAATTCTGTCTAAAACTCACAATGCATGCTTAGGCATATTTTCAAAAAGGTTTCAACATATCACTACGGAGGTTTTCACGGAAATGGAGGAGAAACATTGTGGATTATTGGAACAGGTTTCAGATATAATAATATCGCTTGAGCTAATATATCATCGTTTGATGTATAATTTCAGGATTCTTCGCAGAGTAGGTACTATACAAAAAAACTTGCTGAAAATTCTGTATTGTATGCAAACGTATTTTTTTAGAATAAAGCTATTATTGCTGTGTGTCAAATGTTTATCCTGTTACTAATATCTATCAGTAGTATAATAAGGAGGCAAAATATGCGGACTCATCGTTGAATGGTGACTGGTGTTACCACCTATTCTTGGGTGTATATGAAAGTCAATTGATGGGGCTTTTTATTATGATGACTAAGTTTAGTGTCATTTAGCATTAGAAATTAGAATTCAGTCAATGAGAATCCTTTAATCAAGTTTCTCCTTAGTTGATAACGAGAGCAGTTTGTTCTCCTTAAAATTCTAGACGTAACTTTTCGTCGAAATCAAAGAGTTTATCACTGACTTCAGTGCTTCAGGCTTTTATGTCGACTGCTTTACTTGCATTTACATTACGTTGAGTGATAAATGATGAATTCTGTTTGAGCCATGAACTCAAATGACCATTAATTCACTCATTAAAACATTTTTTTAAAAGCCTATATTTTCGATAACTCTTCATGTCCATTTTAGTGTATGTCATCAAGTAACACCTGCTGGCTCAATCAGAAATGCGCAGATAAACACGGCTGACATTTTCATGTTGAAAAGTGAAAAAAATTCCTCTTAGTTTTGTGAATTAACTCTTTATGTAATTTAAAATTTTTCAATAACTTCATCAGTCAAGCCAACTTCTTATAACAATCTCATTTTTGCGTTTATTATTATTCCCTTGGGTTCTGAGTATAACTCAGGGCTGCAACAGTGCATCTTCACTTTGTTCTACTTTCTGCACTCCTCTTCAGCTAGCTCCACAACTGCAAATAGGCTTTCATCTCCTCCTCACAAGACCTCCTACATTCCCTCGAGCGTACTCATCGTTCTAATCTTCCACTTCAGAGTTTGCGTGTGATTCCATGTTCATGTGTCTATCATCGCTTTCTCCTCCATATTTGTTAAACGATAGGTTCTTGGTTAGTTTGTTCCCATAGCTTCTTGTTGCTAATTCTTTCTGGCCGACCATTTTATCTTTAATATAGAACCAGCAAAGGCAGCTGTTGATAAAGGTCTGCAACCTGTTGGAAATGCTTTTCCTGACGCGTTCGTCAAGTTTCTGACCCATGTTGAAGAAGTGACTGACTTGACATTTGTGATGAAAATCCGAATTTTGTTTTTTATGCTGAGTGCAGGAGATAGTAGTCAATCTTGTCTTACTCCTGTCTTTGCTGAGTTTCCTCTTGTGAATCACTTTACTTGTGGCATTCTCATATAGCTGTTGAATAAGGTTGTTATAAGTTGGATATTATTAAAAGCGTACCTATAACTTATTTCATACAATTTAAATGATTAATTTCGTAGACTGGAGGAGGTAAACATAGCGTTAAACTAATAACAGCCTTCGTCATATTGTAAATTTTGATTAACTAATCGGAATCCTCACTTTTACTGTCTCTTTCAAACTTTATACTTTTGTTCAAAAATTCGTACCATAAATTATTAGTTTTACGATTAATTTCGCAGAATTTATGAATTTTCTTCAGTTTTTATGATCATTCTTTTATATGATATAATCCCCATGGAAATAATCAGAAGAAAATGTACAACATTTTGAATGGAAGTTAACTGGTATGATTTTAGCAGTCTAATGAAAAATACACATTGAGGACAGAAAATGAATAAAACAGATAAATAAAAAGTCGGCAGAGTATTTCCGCCATTCAAATTTAAACAAAAAACGTTTCGAATCATTGTTTGTCCAATTACAAACTTGATTTCTGATGGCATGAACATCTTTTTTTGGAATATTGAGTTCAAACAGTATGAATAACATATCGTTTTGCTATACTGAAAGCACAGCAGCTTTAATGATATTACGTATCTATGATTCATCAGAAGCAATGGCGGCCTGTTCAAAATACTTGGCTACCAATTTTTCCATTCATCAAAACACTTCTTATTTGCTGTATTTCATGTTGTTTTAATTGTCCAATTAAATTCTTGACCCGTAAGTTGTAATTATGCCCATTTTCAAATAACTTTCAACCTACAGTATAGATTATTTGAACGTGCTTTGAAAAGAACAGTGTTGTTTCATCAAATGATATCCTACAGATTATTATTATCTTACTCGAAGACTAGACACAAGTAGTGAATACAAAAAACTATATACTACTGATTGATTGAGAGAGTAGTTGTATATTACTCACATACAACCATGGTATTTGCTAGCTAGATATAAGTAACAAGAAGGCCGTCTCTCTCCTTTGGGGTAGAGTCCATCAGCAGTGTATGCTGTTTGATTCAGCTCAGGAAGCTGAATCAAGACAAACAACCTGAATTCCAGCTAGCTACTTCGGTAAACTGGTGATACCATATATCAAGTTCACAATCTGCGAACCAGTCAGCAATTTTGCAAATTAATTCATAATTTACACAGTTGGAGGTGATTATTTGGTTCTTAATTATCATTTATGGTATCAAGCAGAACATATATTGCGATCTGAATAATCTCAGTTTCCAAAGGAAACAGTGGTGAAATGATCACCTCGAATTGTGTAAATTGTGAATTGATTTGCGAAATTGAGAACTTGATTTAAGGAGTGTTTGTTTTATAATATAACTTGAACAGAATTCGGTACCATTTACGAAAGCATTTTTGAGAATGAAGCTATTAGGAATGTTGTTATTATTCTTATCCATGTGGTGTACGTTGATATTCTTTATGTTTCTTATACAGGAAAAGCATTCCTTTTGAATTTAGACATAAATGATTGCCACTTATTGTCAGTATGAGTTGCGGATATCCCTATGAGATTCATTAAACCAGTCAGTTTCACGAGGGAAAAAATTCCGTTAGTATAGATCTTTTCAGTCGTGGGAACTTTTTTCTGTTGTTATCATTCTCTTTATGGATTTTCAAGGCTTCAATAGCCACCTTAAAAAAGACATATCATCTATTTTGACGTTAAAGTCGACTATAGTGACTACCATACAACGCACAGGTGTTTCAAGCATCGACTATGTTATTCCTTCCCTAAGGAATGGAACCAATACTATGATTCAGGGGCTTGTGTAACTGATAAAGGTTAAATAGAACATATAATATCTATTCTTCATTCTGACACTAGTCGCTTTGATAAGAGAATGAAACAAAATATCAGTTAGGTAGGATATGCACTTGCCTTATAAAAATCCCTGTCCGCTGCATCATTCACTACGTGTAGCCCTACTAGAGAACGGGTATCCAACAAGAGTCATCGACAAAAATATGAAGGAAAAGCCTCCGTCGCCAAAAATCACAACTGTTCCTAAGAAAACTCTCTTCACGAACCTCGAATTCAAAGGTGACATCAAAGTAGAAATTCTTAGACACCGCCTTTCTGAATGTCTGAAGAAGACATTTCAAGCAGCCACCTTACGTATCCCATTCTCCAGCCGACAATTTATCCAGTCTAACGTTAAGGATAAGATACCATTATGGCCACTTCAATGTGTATTTATCAGTTTACTTACTTGATCGTGTGGAGAAAATTGTATCGGCCGTACGCAACGTCAAGTTCACAAATGTATTCTGGAACATTGTCCAGCCTAGCTAGCTAGCCAGAGGAGAAGTGAAGAATACTAGCAGCTATATCCTCGAACAGCTTGTCAACTCTGGACATCAAGTACCTGTCGTATGAATGATTCACAGTGCTACACAGAGTCCCTCAATATCGTGTGAAAGGACTTCGAATACGCCGTCTGTATAAGCTGAATCATTGGCTATTTGGGATCTAAAAACGGACCTCAGCATTCAAAATCGCTACATACATTCACTCACCCTACCGTGGCCAGAGTAACGTTCCTACTATAATTTTGCTTCTATTTTATTATGTAAGTTTACTATTATTATTGTTATTATTATTATTTTTCCCATCATCCATATTTTATTATCACTCTATTACTGTTTATTAATCGCATTGCGTTTTCATACAGATTTTTTTATAAAAACACTTTATCGTCTTTCCAATAGTTCCTGTCCATTCTATACAATTATATTGATTAGTCATTTTCCCACACTTATTATGTCATGCCAACTTCTGCCTCTTTTCTAATTCCTAATTACGTAATACGTTTTTCGTTCTTATCATTTCAAGGTTACATATAATTACGATTGAAAATGAATCTTCGAAAAGAAAATTTTCCTCGCTGTTTACGTCTTTTTCTTATTACTCAATATGGGCATATTTCGTTGACTTATCAGCATTATAAATGATACAATAAAAATAAAGAAATTTAGCAACACCAACACTAACAGAAACAATAATGAAGAAGGCACTTACATTCATTTCATCATTGATTCTTTTGGACATTTTTAATATTTCACTAAATTTCTTGAAGACAAGTGACAATTAAATTTTTTTTCTAAACAGTAATCAATTGTTTTATTTCAGTGTATATTAACTGATTTCATTTAGGCCGAAATATCAGCACTTTTGAAATACGTGACTAGCTTAGTTATTCAAACATTAAGAGGATTAAAATCAGTTGTATTAAAAAAATATGTCAAATATCTTAGGTAAGTAAAAGGACTTGTTGATTCCTTATTGGTTAAATAGCTGTACAGTGATTGGTTTATCTATTCAGTGGCTTATTGACGAAATGATGAATGCGAATGAGACGACTGCCCGATTGTCTAGAACAAGGAAAAACACAACAAATAAAAATCATTGAAAGTAATTTAAGTCAAAGACAAGCAGAGATATATTAGACAACAGGATGTGTATAATATTGTATGTTACCTGTTGTCTTACAGACCGTTACTGTTAAACAAACAATATCCGCGGGATGAAAAGTTTATCAATTATGGTTGTAGTAAGTTTTACTTACTACATTGCTTTATGCTACAGCGATGGTCTTCGTAAAATACCAACTTGTTAATTTGAACTTCAAGGGGTATAAAATTTCGTGGCATAGTACCACTATTATTAGACACTCTTTAGGTGACCCATTCGTTGCATACTTTCGTGCAGCTACAAACCTCTAGAGAGTTCTACTTTTTTTGGGGATTACAGCTTGATTCCACACCGTATTTTCAGTACAAGTATGGAATTTTCAGCATGGATATCGGTAGCCCAAATTTCGCAGGCCGACCATAGATATCGGTTGTGCGTCGGGAGGGGCTCGAACCCCGGACTATGTGCATGGTCGGCGAGAGTCCTAACCACTGTGCCACTCTTCTAGGCATACCTGAAATTTTTAATGCGTCTAAGCTCAAAGTAATTCACATCAAGAAGGCAGATGTGTGATGGTTATCAGCATTTTCAAAAAATTGGAGGCAAACAAAACGATACAGTTTGGATGACAGTTTTGTCGATTGTTGTCTTAATAGAGTGCAGATATTTTTCCTCTCTCTGTTCTGTTTCTTGCCTTGTCTAATATGGAATATAGAAACTGCTTAGAATTTTACAAAACACCGACTGAAAATATCTTTGAAATTTCAGCAGTAATCTTTTAAACACCAGTAATGCATTTCATGAAAATACGTTCACTATTCTCTAAGCATATTGTATAGTTCAGTAAGTATTTCATAAGAGCAATAGATATGTTTAAATTAGTTAAGGTAAATGGATGGTCCAGCTATAAGAGATGTTACACTATTTATTTTGTGTGAAAGTTTTCATGGAACACCATTACCTTGCTATTATCAGGACCTGCGGGAATTTTCAAGTTCAAGATCTGTCATCACTTAAATCTCTAGGTACATTATTATTATTATTGTTCCCTTGGGTTCCTAGTGGAACAAAGGGCTTCAACTGCACGTCTCCACTTGTTTCTATCTTCTACTGTACTTTTCACCTGCATCCATGTTAGTCCATACTGTTTCAACTCCTCTTCACACGATCTCCTTCATGTCACCCTTGGACGTCCCACTCGCCGCTTCCCTTTCGGGTTCCACTCGAGTGATGGCTTGACGCGCGATGTCACCCAGTGGCCTCCTCAGCGAGTGTCCAATCCATCTCCACTTTCTTCTGCATATTTGTTGGGCGATTGGTTCTTGTTTTGTTTGTTCCCATAGTTTCTTTCCGGCCATCTAATCTTCAGTATAGAACGAAGACAGTTGTTGATAAATGTCTGCAATCTGTTGCAAATGTTCTTTGTGACCCGCCAAGTTTCTGATCCGTATAGAGGAACTGACTTGACGTTTGTATTGAAAATCCGAATTTTGTTGTTGATGCTGAGTGACGAAGATTTCCAGATTGGTTTCAGGTTGATGAATGTGTTTCTCGTCTCCCCGATTCTCGATTTGACATCCTCATCCGTTCCTCCTGTAGTTGAGACAATGCTCCCTAGATAAGTGAATGAAGTAACCTCTTTCAAATCCCTTCCGTTGATGGTGATTGGCGGTGGATGTTACTGCTGCTGTTGTTGTTGTTGGTTGGTTATTTTCATAACTTCCGTCTTGTCTATGTTCACCTGGAGTCCTGTCTTTGCTGCTTCTTCGACCAGTTCGTCGGTTTTCGCTTGTAAGTTTTCGATTTTGTGTGACATCAAACATAAATCATCCGCGAAATACATAAACTTGTCCAATTCATTTGTTTTCATACCAAGTGCTGTATGTATGTATTATTATTCCTTTGGGTTCCGAATGGAACATGAAGCTTCAACAACAAATCAGTGCTATATGTGACGAGTATAGACTAATTAATTTACCATTTAGATTAAAGACAATTATTAATGTTGTATGAGTTTTATTATTCGCGTGGGTTCTGAGTGGAACATAAGGTTTCAACAGCCCATCTCCATTTCATGCTGTTCTCTGGAGTCCTTTCTGGCTGGCTCCACAATTACGCACAAGGCTCCTCATTCGATCTCCTCAATGTCACTCACAGACGCCCAACTCGTCGTTTCCCACTCTGGTTCCACTCTTGGGCCTAGCACACGATGTTACTCAACAGTCTCTTAAGTGTGTGTCCGATTCATTTTCATTTCCCTGTGAATATTTGTTGGGAAAATGGTTCTTGGTTGCTTCGTACCCGGAGTTGCTTGCTGCGAATCCTCTCTGACCGGCCATCTGGCCTTCAGTATGGAAAGAAGACAGATGTTGATAAGTCTGAGGCGTGTTCAGAATGCTTTTCGTGACCTGCCAAGTTCCTGAGCCATACAAAAGCACTGACTAACTTGACATTAGTGTTGTAAATTCAAATCTTGTTCTTTATGCTAAGTGCAGCAGATTTACAAACAGATTTCAAATTAATAATGGTCTCTCTTGCTTTTGCGATCCTGTCTGGCTTTTATGTCTTCATCCGTGCAGCGTGTAGTTGAAAATATGCTGCCATGATAATCGAAAGAAGTGACCTCCTCCAAAATTCTCCCGTTGATAGTGATTGGTGCTTGTTGTTGGTTGGTGGGTTATCTTCATCACCACCGTCATCTCTATCTCCACTTGATGTCCTTTCTCAGCTGCTTCTTCTGGCAACTAGCTGGTTTTCGTCTTTAGGTCATCGAGTTTGTGTGAAATTAAACATTAATAATAATAATAGCCTTAATCTGAACAAAATGTCTACACAATGCATAGAATTCCCAGAGTTATTTTTTGCAAAGTGGGCGTCCCCTTCGAATCAGAATCCAAGAACACAAATCAGCCGTGAAAAGACACGATATGTATTCTTTTAGTACCAATGCATATAGACAATTATGGTCATCAATTTGATTGGGATAATGTCAAAATCTTAGACAGAGGAAACACCAAAAGTGCCAGGGAATTCCTAGAAGCCTGGTACTCAAACGAAAATGCAATTAACAAGCACGTTAATATAGACGAAATATACCAACTAATAGAAAGTAAATCAGGTGACCAGAAAGTTTAAAATCCAAGTCAATAGGAAATGGTCAATACATATGTAAAAATAGTTACCAGGAGACGCAATTATATCACTCATGAAGAAATTTAAATCATTTCACTTTGTGCTAAATATGGCGCTGAAGATGTTGACGATGAAAGCTTCGCAACTAAACCAACCAGCTCAGAGAACACTATTAATTGCAAATTATCCACCTGAGCTACAAATCTTCCCTATTTTGTCTTCATTCAGGATCTTCAAATACAATAACAATCTGTAGTATATCATGTGGTACTGTGCTGTTCTATTGGGAGTATAAATTGATCCCGCATAATAACTTTCCTTAATTCCTGAGAAATGGACACTGATAGTTTGGGAACTAATCAGAAATGTGATGGATATATTTTGCGACTCAAAAAAGTAACTGAATGGTCAAAACTATAAGGATTGAAGAAAATATGACGAATTGTGTTGAATGGCAATTCATGAAGCCCAGTAAATCAAACAGGCCATGAAGTCCAAATCTTCTTCAGTCTTCCTGTCGGCCTAATGTACTCCACTCTTCTCACCCCACATAGTCTGATGCATGGTCCAGTCCACCACAATCAGAAATATTATCGGTGATAGTAGGCAATCTCGTCTTGCTGCAGTCTTCACTTCAGAGTCATCGGTGAATATTACACCGTGAATTTTGGTCAAATGCTGATTTCTTTTCCCTTAAGTAAATAAAACAGTTTGAATTGTGATATGGTATAGCTGGGTTCAGGTAACCGAGAGTATTTGAGGGAAAACAGTCGTGTATGGTCTTCAGTCCAGTTTCCCATTACATTCGGTATCGAACCAAAATCCCAGCATTATTACCGACAGTTACAACAAATTTAGCAACGATTATATGGACGTTTTGTACTAAATATTAATATATTTTGGAGTTCCATTTATTTGTCAACTCTTGTATCTTACCTATTCTACTTTACTGCTCCCCGTTAGTCTTTCCTGGGCTACTGAAAAAGGACTATATCATCCTGAGAAGGATGCTGAAGGTATTTAGTAGGACTAATGGTGTAAAACTCAGTCAGCTCGTCACTACATTAGTTGGAAGGCATCTGAATACATGCGAAAAATGGTCTAAAACCATACTCTCCGACCCCCAACACCCCCTCTATTCCCAACTCTCGCCTTGTATCTCATCAAGTAGAACCAGAAATCAGTATAAAATAATCTATGCTCGTATAACCAAGTACAGGAACTCAACGATACCATACTTGGCCCGTGTTCTTAGTGACAGAGACAATGTTAAGCGCGAAACCTATGACTTGCTCTGTTGTTAATAACATAATTTTACCTCTCTTATTTCTCTCTTATTTTGTTTTCTATAGTGAACTCCTTCTTAGACATACTTAGCTACCTAAATTATTAACAGTGGCTTACTTTTTGTACTTTACTGTATTCCTTCGACTGTGTATCTCCTGGTTCCGACTATATTAGCACTATGAGTAGTACAAAATTTTCCTGTCATTAACCATCATGTAATTATTAGTTTTTGTGGTTGTTTTTTCTTATTTTTTATTTATATTAACTGACAATCATTGGTTGTGAACGCCATTGTTACCCTTAAAATTTTGTATTATTCAGGATTACTCACACTACCACTACAAACACTGCATTAGACCTAACAATAAAAAACAAAACAACAACCCTGAAATGTTATTTTATGATTGTTTAGAGTTGTTTCAACTAAATTAACTGACCATCTTGGCGATAAACATTCTTAAATATCATTTCATAACTCCTTGTATGACTATAGCTTTACTGTCACTATGCATAATCATATCATAGCTTCCACTACCCAATACTGAGTTATTATTATATGCTGTTTATTTTCCTTTATACTTCTTGGTATTTTTTTCGCATTTTTTTAAAA